CCATTTTCTCACAGTTCTTCTTGTCACAGGTTGCCTCTGAACAAGTGGTTTGTATTCTGAGCAGAGAAAAACAAGATTGTGATCTGATTGTCCTAGAGGATGTCTTGTTTTGGACATGTATGCATTCTTTACATTTGCATAACACAAATCCAATGCCTTGTTTTCTCTGGTGGAGCAGCTGACAAACTGTTGAAATGTTGGAAGTGTAGCAGAGAGCGAGGCATGATTAAAATCACCAGATATAGCCACAAATGCATTGGGGTGCTGGGTTTGTAGCTTAGCGACAATGGAACTGATGGCATCACATGCACTGCAAAAAACGCAAAAGAAACATTTTTAGAGGAAATCTTTTCTTGAATTTTATTAATTTGTTATTAGAAATCTTGATACAATTTAGGAATGTGATAAAGTAAAGATAAGGACATATGAATGTTCAGTCCTGACTGTAGGAAAAAAGCATTGTAAAGTAATTCTGGTTACAATTGTAATGGGTGTGTGTGTGAAGGGGGGCAGGAATGGTGAGGTTTTTTTCAGTTGCCTAGGTCACCAACCCTTGACCTCTCTCCGAGACCTCTGAATCTCTGACATCTGTCTGCTTTTCCCGCCTTCTCTGCCTTTATTCCGCTAATTTAGTCACAAAGAGAACAAACCCAGCTTCCTGAAATTCTACACATATTTTAAATGTATCAGCTGCTTTAGTGAGAATGATCCCACCTCCTGCGTATGTGTGATGAATATATATGTGATTATGAACCATGTAGAGTGGCTCCACTACAGCTAAGGTGCTCCGTGTGTCTCACCAAAGCTCCACTTTGCCAGTGAGAAACCATTTGCAGCTGAAAATAGACATCTTTGTTTGTGCAGTCTGCTTTGCTTTGTCTTAAAAGTAGGTCTTTAGGCTATGACATAACAGCGTACCACAGAGCGCCTTCTGCCTTTCTCGCTGGTGTGGAGATGGGGGATGGGAGGAAGATAGTGGGGGAGGTGTAGTGTACTCACACACACAAAAGCTTATTTTTCAGCCTAATTCCACCAGCTTCATACACAGATACACTCACACTCACACATACACCTATCACAATAACCTTTCCTTCCTTCCGTTTTACACTGTAAATACAAGCAAGAGGGTATTAAATACGCCAAATCTAAAATGTCACTATGCACCAGAGCCCAGTGACAAATATGCTAGTGAATATTCCCCCTGTTGCAGACTGATATTTCCACAAGCTTCCCCAATCTAAATGACACAACAAGAGGCATGTGACTACCAGTGCCCATCCCCCACCTCTACATATCACCAGTGCTCCTCAGAGCTGTCTAGAAAGGTCATGTGACCCTCATCAGCTTCCCCAGGCTGGGGGAGGGGAGGCAGATTGAACCTGTTCTTTGTTAGGAGGTCAGTCCCGGCAGCATGGCAGGAAGCTCTAGTACCATAAACCTCATAACAGAAGCGCAAGGGGAAAAAAAGAACATTAAAACAGGAATATCTGATTATTCCAATAGAAGAAAATATATACAGTAGGAGGTGCTGTGGTTTGTCGTCATTGAAGCAGCCTGTGAAAGTGCACAACGTATCTGGAATTTCTTTTTCTTTGATGTCTTTAATAAGGCTTTGAGGTAATGATGTTCTATCTTTACCAAGCTGTAATTTTAGGCAATTTTCAGGAAAGTATGAGGGGGCGGTCTGAGGATCAGCACTCCCGCCCAGAGGGTGGTTGCTTTCTAGAAAACAAGGTAGTAAAGTGGAGGCGAAATCAGGCAAAGGACATTGGAATGCTGGAAAACAAAGCACTTATCTAAATACCGGTCTCCATTTCTCACATCCAAGTGAACACTCAGTTTAAGGAGACAAATTGCAACAAAGGCTGACATAATTCCTTTAAGTCTTTATAAAAAATGTGATATGTTTTAGCTGAAAGACAAGATTACAGCACCAAGGGTCACTAAAATGGTCTGTCTTTAAAGATATTTAAACCACCAAATAGTTCCCTAGCACAGCCGCTGCTGCAGCTCACCTCTCCTCATGGGGATGGGTCAAATGTGGGTAAAAAAAAAACATCAGCCCTATTATCACCTGTAACCTAACCTATGACTCCAAGCAGTAAACATATTGTTGGCCCAGTCCCAATACTCACACTGCCATGGACGTAATTTTCACTTTAGAAGTGGGGGGGACACGGGGGAGGGGGGTATCTTTACAGGCTTCAACACAAACGGTTGCTTTCCGCTTGGTCCTAGAGCTCAATCAGTGCCAATTTAATATAGTGTAATATTGTTTTTGGATGGTAAAAAGTACAGGGGTCAAAACTTGACTTGGGAAAAAGTGGGGGGGACATGTCCCCCCTGTCCCCCCCCCAAAATTACGTCCATGCACGCTGCACCCTACAGTTCTCAGCGAAATGCACTTGGAGGAAGTCCGCAGTTAGCCTTCTAGTGCGCTGTACACAAGTTTGCAAATAATTGCCAAATTTGGACAGGGAGCATTGCCTCATCGACTGCAACGCATGCCAAGATGCTGGTTGCTGTGATTCTTTTTGAGAAAAAAAAAAACAACTTTATTAACAGTTCTCAAACAAACAACCAAACAATTATTTGAAGTAAATCTACATTCATGGCTGCTTTGTCTAAAATATTCAGAGCATCAACTAATCCTAAAATGAGCTAATTTCATTTGAAAATACACATTTTCAGAAATGACACTTCAGCCCTTTTTCTTGCAGCAATGGATTATGGGTAATAGCCTTCACCCAAGTCTGCATTGTTGGAATCTAGGGTAAAGGGAGGATCAACGGTGCAAATGGGGCGTGACTTCCGCACTTGAGAATCGGGACATCCTACTCAGTCGCACCCCTGGTTGGGATTGCGTATTTGAAGGCCGCAAGTGTGGAAGTGCAAGTATTGGGACTGGGCCCTAGTTTAAAAATTTGCTTTCACACCCCACAACTTTCCTGTTTATGGTGCGGCGGTGGAGTTACAGTGCCACTGGCATAGTCACATGCTATCTTTTTAGAGATATTTTTCAGACACAAAAACAAAAGAAACTGTTAATAACATCCAGTTTCTTGTTACCTTCTGAAAATGAGAATTCCAACTAAATTCCACATAGCATTGGAAGGCGACCTCCAAACATGATCTCATGTGGCAAACCTTTTACCAAATAAGGGTTGTTCAAGAGAACTGATCAGGCAGGACTCAAAAAAAAAAAGCAGCACATGGTTGAGACATCAAAGGATGACAGGCATCTGCACGTTCTCAGTGAACTGTGGTCTGTTTGTTTGATTCAAATGGCTAAGTATTCCTAACTGTGACCGCCTCCTGTGATGACAGTCATTAAGGTCAGAAATGATACGATAGTGTCATCATGCAACTGGCGGGGCCACAAGAAATATAAATATTTAATTACTGAATGATTAAAAAATGTATAAAATATAACAAAAGTAGTTACTTTTACTCTTAATTTATATACATTTTTAATTTAAAGGTATTTCTCTAATGCAGTCAAAGCTATATAGTGTATTTCATTGTATTGCTGCCCGAATATTAACAAGTACATTAATCACAAGTAATCTAGATATCTAAGATTCATGTTTTCTGCATGAACAAATTTAAGTGCAGAATTTGGCTACTTGGCCTGATTTGCAGCTATGTTAAATTAAGTATGTACACATCAAGAATTAAACATGTATTTTTGTGTTTGTCCTGATTTTAGACACGTTTTGCCAATATATCTGATCTTTAGTTATGCATTCCAACATCTTTGTCTCATTATTTATTTCTTGTCTACAACAATGCCCTTTGTTTGTACATATGTTCATTTTGTGTTTCATATAGTAATTACCAAAGCTATTTTCCTAACTTTTTTGTGGCTTATCAGAGTCAAATTTGACTTTCTGTCTCTCTTAGATCATTCAGACTTTCATCATTGTTGTTTTGTGTCTTATTTCATTCTCTAAATTGGCTATGATCAAAGACTAATGGATGCAGCCACCATGAAATTACCCATTGATTTGTGCACTGCTGTTTTGAGGTCTTGAGTTTGGATTTAGCTGTTGCAACAGTATGCTGCTGCAGCGTGGAGAAGCATGGAAAAAGATCTGAAAGAGCTCAATGTGGTTACAACTAAAGAGAATGAAAGCTTTGTAAATTATTTATTTATTGCTCTAGACTGTAAAATTCACTGCAAAACAAAAGGAGGCCATTTGAGGGCCTGTTTTGTTTTTGTGTTAATCAGTTTCTAGCTTGGCAAAACGACGTGTTCCCATTTATCTATTTTTGTGTTGTTTATTGGACTAATTTAGGATCTTTGCGACCATTTCATGGCGTTTTCATTGTGCATCGGCCTCCAAATAGTTTGCATGGTGAGCCCACTCAGTAATCTGCCCATGATTACACACTGTACCAAATCAAAATGCTGTCATTGTTTGCAAAATAAGTATTGCGCAGATTCTACAGTGTGTACGGTAACCAAAGGAATGTGTCACACTGATGTCAACTTGTTATTTACTTTCCAAATCTGAATGACTGAGCAAGGCGAAAGGAGAATTAATCAACCACTGTGTGACCAGGCAGGCGAAAAATAGCGTTGTGGGGGAAGGGAAGTGGCTTAAAGCAGGCCAGCATGCTGGAGTGTACTCAGCAGTGTGCTTAAACTACAAAACAACACACGAAAGCAATACAATAATATGTAGCAACTTGATACCATAAGCAATAGGAAATGTAGTTTACTGGTTAAATATAAACCCTAATTATAGAACTGAGTGATAAAAAATGCTATAGTTGCGTGTTTGCTTTACAAAACGAATGATTAAAGAAACACGTTATTATATCATGGCGTGTGGTGGCCCAGTTTAGCTAATTAAGTCAGTAATTAAAGAAAATTCCGTGTAGAGTATCCAGGTTTAAGGTCAAGCAGCCTTCACCCCACCTCCCCCCCTCTCGTGCGAGTCTCGCGCTGCTGAGTGTCTCTCTCCGCTCCCGGTTCTCAGTGAACGGTGAAACTCCACGGAACAGCCTGCGCCCCACAGCCACAGAAACTCGGGCTGGTTCCAACTTTTTTTTTTATTCCTCCTCTCGTGTCCGCCAGTTGTGACGGTGTCTGGGGCGAACACGCTCTGGTGGCACAGCAAAAATAAGCCGACAGTGAGTCATACTGCGCGGTCGGAACTTGAAATATGACGATAAGCAAGATGGGAGGAAAGTGTTTTCTCGCTTACTGAAGTTGGAGGTTCTCCTTGTGGAAGAGGAAGAGGTGGCGGCGGACACCACGAGTTCACTCTCACAGTAAGAAACGGTAAGCCCGGAGGCTCGAGGCGCGGCGATGCACTGTACCCGGACTGTTCCGTTCTCCCAGTTTGGGCTTTATTCGAAGCAGATAACGACTTTCAGAAATAGATGGATTATGGCGTAACCGGCTCGCGCTGACTCCACACGTGTGTTCCAATTCCTAATTGCGTCTTTTAATTTTCTCCTACATTGTTGCAAAGCCCAACTTTTTCTGCCACTTTTTTTAAATGCTCAAATTATGCAATGAGTCTTTGGAGTGCTTGACGAAATACACTTTTGATATGTTGTCCCTCTTTTCCAAGTAGTAGTTTCATCTATTTTGTCCACATTTGTAATAATGTCATCAACCAGCACATGCAGTTGCATATGTTGTTGTTTTAGGCTTCTATTTGAATGAAAGCATTTAAAATGGTCATGTTGAGTTAGGAAGCGCATGTGTGTGTGGGGGAAGGGAACGACTTGTGTTACTGTATAACTACAATGTTGAGCTGTACCTGTCAAGCTGCTGTAACAGTTTGGCCCAGACACGAGTTTATAACAAACCTGGCGTGATATAAAAGCGTATACATTAATAAAGTAATGGAGGAATGGACTTACACCTTTAAAATCAGGTCCAACATGGCCTTAAATTCTCAGTTTGCTAATTGAGGCATTAGCACAGTGTGTTGTTTGTTTTAACCGCACTATCCCAGTAATCCAAAATATAACTGCTTATTTAGTCATACACAAGGATGTGTTGTTGATTTCAAAAGTGGGGGGAAACAAATGGCTTGACTGGGGGGGGGGGGGGGGGGGAGATCCAAACTGCCTTATGGCAGTGGAGGGGGGGTCCTCCCCAATAATGATCAATGTCTAATGTATTTTTTTTCACTTGACTATGTTCAGCCTTTTCTCAATAGTTGTGTGCAATATATGTGCAATATTGTATTGCACCTTTTCATTTTACATTTTTATGCAGTCAAAACCTGACCCAAGTGACCAATCAGCTGTCCATCTTTAGTAAGGAGACCCGTTGGTTTCCCATACATACGATTTAACAAACCACTAGTAATTAAAACTAGGGATGTCCCGATACAACTTTTTTACCTCCGATACAATACCGATATTGCAGCCTTCAGTATTGACCAATGCCGATATCAATCCGATCCGATATCAGCACCAATCATACTTATCTTTTACCTATTTCATGGTGTGGAATATATGAAAGGCTTAATCATGTGATATTACTCAATCGGAGAACAAGAGTATGAAAACTGTTGGTTGCAAAAATGTGAACCTTAACGGACTGCTTATATCGGAGATTTTTGGTGCAGTCCGATATAAACCGATAGTGTTTTTGGGCTGATAACGAATTACTTCCATTGCTAATTAAAATTCTACTTATATGCACCTGAAAGTAGTAGTGGAATTAACTATTTGTAGCACTTCCTGTTTGATGCATGATATTCATATTTATGCCAGAATGATCATGTGATGCAACATTGATGGTGATGTAAAGGTTTAGAAAAGTTTGTATCAACCACTTAAAAAAACTTATTAGAGGTGAATTCAACTCATTCTCAGGTTGGTTAGAATTATCTTGCGCAGGTAAGATATTGACTGTTCATAACATTTGTACATCACCTCAGTTTGAAAGATGTAAACTATCCCTTTAAAATGTTACACCATCCTCTTTGTTCTTACAATCGGGAGTAGCCAGGGGCATTTGTGAGGCATTTTGCCTAACTTATCTTTATTACCTTTGGCTAGTAACCTTTATTGTTTCTGTAAACACTCAAGCAATCAGCATCATGCTGCTTATTTACATATTACAGCAGTTCCTTCTTTTGTACCAGTGTTGTGTGGAGAATTTCATGTTTCCATTGGTTAGTTTTCAAAAGTGGGGTCTAACTAATTGCGTTGGTCATGCTCCATTTTGGACATCTTTTAGTTTTCTTGAATTGTGTTAACTGTACGCTGAGCACTACCATTCCTAAAGGACAACCAAATTGTATCGCCATGATTCATTCCTGTTGGTGACCTTTTTGTTTAGGAAGGCTTGAAATTGCACAGTGTACACCCATCTTATGTTAGTTTCTTTATGCTCAGTGGGTCTGAATTATGTTCCTAGCCTGCTTGAATGAGAGCAGATGAAATTTGTGGTTGAGATGACCCAGATGTCTGTCTGGGTGTCGTGTTTCAATCGCTGTCAGATGGAGCTGGAGCTGATAAATGTCTTCACTACTGCAGTCATTTGACACAGCTCTTGTGCATATAGTACCTTTTTCTACTGAAGACAAAAGGCCAATTTAGTTGGGGGGTTGTTGTTTTCTGTGGTGTACAGTTTAATATAAAAACATTGTCCAGCCTTACACAGTTTTAAAAAAAAGCCATTAAAATCTATTGATTGCAAGGAAGCAGAACTGAGCTGTATGGGAGTTTGTGTTAAAAGCAGAAAGCCAACTTCTGCGGAAAAGTAGGGCAAAGAAGTCCCCAAGAAAGCCTTTGTCAGTCTTGTGGTGCAACAATGCTCTGTTCTGAGCCATCCAAATATTTCTGTAGCAGTATTTATTTATGATAGGCCGTTGGGGGGAGGTGAGCCTTTCTCCACCCCCCTCAAAGAGGTGTGCAGTGTTCATGGGCAACCAGCCAACTGGCACATGAGTGGTTACTCTGAAATTACGCCCATACAAGTAGTGGCTGGTTGAAGGCCACAGTTATGCATTGCTTATATTTTTGATTTGGTTTGGAAGTGTTTTGTCATTGCGTGAAAAATAGTGTGACCTTATTTGTATCAAAACAAATCCACCTCCTCTTCAAGGCGTGGTAAATGTTCTACTATTTCTTTGTTCGTCGTGGCTTCAGCTACATAATCGAGTTCTCATAAGGCTTCATAATCATTTTGCTTTTAGACTTTACTCCTTTTTTAATCTAATGTTCAGTCTTACTGCATATTTGTGTGACTCTTTGCTCTGCCAGTTGGACAGTTTTTTTCCTCCCCAAAGTCAGTCCATGAGCACAAGCACACATTGTTTGCCATATGTAACGTAGAAGACTGGGATCTTTGCTGCAGTTGTGTAAGTGCATCTGCTAAGTGTTTTAGCCCTTTCAGGAAGGAAAAAAAGTTTTATGGAGATACTGATACTGTAATTGGGTGACTGTTGGGGAAGTTGTGCAAGAACCTACAAGTCACAGCAATGTCACAATGTCCTAATCTTTTCACTCTGCATTTTTGCCATTGAATCAAAAGCATTGATTGTTGTTAAATCCAGAACTTGTATGTCACCAGGACATTTGCTGTGAAGTCCTGACTTTATTGCACAGCAGCCGCATGATTTTGGCTTGAATTCTATGGAGGAATGAAGCAGTGAGGAAATAAGGATTGGTCCAGCCAAAAGAGATTAATATGAAATCGTTGGGCTACCCCTCCTATATCTGTTGAGCAATCTGAGATCACTATAGAAGAAGTCACCATCAATTCAAGGGAGCATTTAGATGACAGCCTTAGTGGATTTTGGACAACCACATATATCTTTGAGATGATATTGTAACAAAGGTTATGCATTTTTATTATATATTTTGTTATATATTACATATTTAGGAATCACTTTCACACTTTGGTATACACGCAAGCATATTACAGTGCTAGATATCTTGCGAGTACCGAGATATTCATGTGAGCACAGCGTTTTGTGAATATGCAAATGTTTTTTAAAGTGTTTAGTCTCACATTCTAATAGAAATTGTATTTTAGGAGTCTTGACATGGCACTGTGTAAAAGTAGGTTAGAGTACAAAAATCTTGAAATGCCACCCGACCATTTTTGTAGACTCTACTGATGTGATGTTCACAAAAGAACCAATTCTTTTAAACGGCTCTTCAAAGTGAACGATGAGAGCTGAGTCCTAGTAGAGAACTGTTCATTTTTCTCTCTCAATAACCAGATGAGTGCTTGCCCCCGCTTCCATTGATAATGGGGGGACATTTTGCGCAGCCCCCCTGCCCCCACAGCGATCACGCTGCTTCGTTGAAAAGACTCAGTCATTTGAACGGCTCTATCCAAAGAGCCATAAGACTCATTACTAGTAGACTCCTAAAAAAACGCAACCCTAACCTAAACTATCTTGTCAGATGTATCAACGATTGATTACACACTTGTGTTTGAGATGTTAGTGATACAGATAAAGTAACTCAACTACCTCAAAACCTTTGTAAACTGCAGTAATAGGCCTACTTCAATGATTAGACAGGTTCATGAGCAAGAATGCACCACAAACTGGACTTGCAGTGAAGAAGAGCAATGGGGAATTGGATGATATACTTGGCAAAAACCAGGGAGAATCAGTAATATTTTATAGCATCATAAATATTGTTCAATATGTCCCTCGCTGGATACTGTTCCTGAAAACCACCCACTGTGACCTCGTAGTTGGACTGGCATGACTTAGGAGATGGAGTCAAAAACCATAGACGTCTTTTGATTGTTGATTAACCATCTTAAGATGCATATTCAGCCACCTGCTGTTGAAGTCTTTATACCAGTTTCCAGTTATTGGTGTAAAAACATTTGGAAAGAAAAAAACATACTTTTGTAAACAAGGCCTAAAGCTGGGCGGACACTGCAACTTTTATCCAATATTAGCTGATTTTCCACTCTCTTTGATGTCAGGCTGAGTTTTTTTGTCATGCATCCTGTAGTATACTGGGGTAACAAGAAGCAATTAGCACCACACGACTAGCTCCCAAATGGGTAATTGTTTAGTCGCATGAAAATCAAACATGTCTGAAATTCTGCTCGTTCCTCGAGAGGGCATCACATTGTTGAAGCAGCAGCAAGACCCAAATGTACCAAAACGTTCACACAGAGCATCAACACATCTGCCTGCCATTACCTTGTACATTTACGTAATCTCTTTTTATTTTTTACAAAGGAAATGCATGTTTGCTGTGTTAATATAAAGTAAAAAGGATCCCTAAGCCTTGGTTTACTTCCTACATGTCATTCATTCTTCTATCTCCAACCCCCAT